TAGTTAAGGATGTGGGCTGTTCTAGTTTTAGGGAAATGCGAAGTTTAGCTCAGGATAGGAAAGATTGGAGGTACGTGTCCAACCAGTCTTAGGACTGATGACCTTATGATGATGATGATTATTCATTTTGATATAATACTGTTTTGTCAATATCGCTTCCATTTTATTTAGGGTTATCTCTAACTCCTCCTTGCTAAATGTTAATACTGCTATATCATCTGAAAATCTAAACATACTAATTTTTTACCCCTGTACTATATCTATTCCTAAAGTTTTCTTTAAAGATGTATAGATTAAAAGGCAGCGGTGTTAGTGTACATCCACACTGTATACAAAGATTTTATTTATTTTAAAAATGCGTGCTTTTGGTTGTCATTTTGTTAGTTTGTTGTGCTCCAAAATTAATTGTTTGTCGGTGCAATTAGTGGCGTGGTTGAGTTTAAACAATCGCGCGTGTGCTTCCGTAAATAGGGACGAGGCGTTTCTGAATAGTTATATGAGCCACCCACATGCCATCCGGACCTTCTATAGCACCCCATTAGATGCATGTGACAACACGGATGTGGGATCCCTGCCTCATTAACAGGTGCACGATCTGCTATCATGACGCTGTTCGTAGAAGAAGAAGAGTCGAATCGAGTCGGCTCAAGCAGAAAAAAAAAACGAAAAGACGAAAAACGAAGTAGAAGAAGAAGAGTCCTTATTATGGGCGCGTCCGTCGACTCTATGCAGTCGACTCGATTCCTCCTGATTCCGCCCGCCAGCCTGCTCGACTAATTGCATGTTCTATCCGACAAGGAAGTCGCTCTATACAGTTATGGATCGTGGTCATTTTTCTTCCTTTATTTTTTTGTTTCGAAAATAATCACGCCTTGCCGCGAACGTGACGTTTCGACTACAACTAAGATCTCAACTCCGGGAATGTTTTACTGAGATGTGCAAATAACACGTATCAACACGTTAGCCGTGACTAGGTGCTTCGTAAACAAAAATTTTATCGGGTTGTAAGGTACCTTTTCGACTGACTTCCTTGTTAAAAAAGAATGTCTTCATGAAATGCTTATTGGATTTAGTTCAGGTTTTTGAGCAGTTATTATTAGAGTTGAAAAATTAATAAGTACTCGGATTCCCGGAACGGTTAATTTAGAAATTCGAAAAAGGTTGTTAAAGGTGTATGTTCGGAGCGCGGCATTGTACGGGTGCGAAACATGGACAGTGGGCGCGGCGGAAAAGAAAAGGTTAGAAGCGTTCGAAATGTGGTGTTATAGGCGGATGATGAGGATATCGTGGGTAGAAAAGGTTAGAAATGAAGAGGTATTGGAAAGAATAGGAGAACAGAGGACTCTATGGAAGTCAATAAAAAATAGGCGAGATAGGTTGGTAGGACACCTTCTCAGGCATGAAGGTCTAGTCAGAGACATATTAGAGGCAGAAACAGGAGTTAGGAGGGGTAGAGGTAGACCTAGATTAGATTACTGTTCGCAAATAGCTAAGGATGTGGGTTGTTCTAGTTTTAGGGAAATGCGAAGTTTAGCTCAGGATAGGAAGAAGTGGAGGTACGTGTCCAACCAGTCTTAGGACTGATGACCTTATGATGATGATGATGATGACGATGATGACTCGGATTCTTAGCGAGTTTTTTCTTGGACTCTGTAAAGAAACAAGTTTTGGGACAATTGGATGTACGTATTTTCCGTTAAAGTTTGTGCAAAGTATTGTATAATTTCCAAAGAATGTGTAGAATAAAGAAGCGTGTTTTGCGTTTTTGAATTGCCTTTCTATGTGATAAATCCAAACATTATGATTCTTATATTGCTTTGGCCGCTGTAGATTGTGAGCATACTGTACATTTGCTCAATTCTTGACATCATGTGGCATTGAAGGCTCTCGAGATCCAGTTTCTCCCACCTCCAACGTAATTTTAACGACTGATGGTCTGTCTTTGCGCATTGCTATGAGTACATCTTTAAATTTCACCATCGTTTGGTTTGTTTTGTTTAAAAATTCAAAGGGGTGCAATCAAAGAGCCGCCACTGGCCGTGTCGCTTATTTCTCCCGTAGCGTCGCCTTTTATTGTGCCCAAGATGGTACGACTGAGTCCGGTAATACGGGGAAAAACTCGAACGTCGATCGTGGAGAGTAAGTCGGCTTAATGAAAGCGTAAATAAGGCGATAGCATCGCCGGAACATCGCGAGCCCAAGCGCAAAAAAATACACTCTCTTTTCGCTGCCCCGCTGATAATTGCCTCCGATAAAATATTACATAAATCTGAATCGAAATTACAGGTTTAATGTCTACGGCAACGAATATTATGAATAGCGCTACGACCGGCAAGAATTTATTTAAACGTCTATTTCTAATAAATAAAAGCGTCCGGGACCGCGTCGGATAATGCATCGGTTGCATTACAGCTTCGCGAATATCTGGCGTCGACATATTTTATTGTACAACCATTATACGTTTTCTCTATTAATTTTACACTGAAACTATATTTTACGAGTTAATTTTAGAACCTTATAACGTATTTATTAGAGGTGGGCTATATACCCGGTTTGGATCCGGTACATGTTTTAAGATTTTTTACTACTTATGAACATTGTAGGCTCGATTTGACGGTTTTAATTCAACCCTTTCGTTGAAAATCCACCAACCAAGAATTAAAATGTGGTGGTGAGGGTGGTATTTGATGAAAACTCCGCCAAAACTGCAACAGTTTTGCATCTAATGCCGGGTACACAGTTATCCGGTGTCCGACAAAATAACTATCCGGTTTGTATTAAAATTAGGTATGCGGTTTATTAAATTCTTAATTGTATCGCAGTGTTTGTTCAAACGCTTCAACTACGGTTTTTCTACAAAAATATAAACAAATTGTTGTTGCTTATTTATTGCTTAATTACTTTTAAGTGTTAAGTTGTAACCTTTTCCCAAACAAAGTAAATTGGTGTCTAAAACGAACATGCATGTAAACTTTTTTATCGGCTCCTATCTTAGTAATTAACCTAAATATGACTGGAAAGTGGCAGTTATTTCGTGATATTTTGGGAATTTAACGTGGCTACAAGTGCACCTCATAATATGTAATAGATGATAATACGTTACATAGCTGGTCTTATAAGGCAATGCAGTTATTATTAACAGCGCTTTTTTTCACTCCGAAAGCAGTCTGAGTTTAATTAAATATAAAAAATGAGAGGTTGGTTAACTGTTAACCAAAATCATTTAACTAAAATAGAAGAACATTTACTTGTACTATGTATGTATGCAGTGGCGGTTCGTGACACAGTGGCTATGAGAGCTAAATATAAAATGGAAAACTAAATAAAATCAGTGGAGAAAATAGAAACTGGAAATTCTATAGTGTTCAAATCGGATGCTGATGTGCCTAGTCATTTAATGTTTGATTACTTCAGTAGAAAAATAATTAAATTCGTTATAGTTGACCCTGCGAATTTATAGGTAAGGTCGTCGAGAGAGATGGGAAAAGTGGGAACACCCCTTCCGTGGCAGGGATTTTTGACATACCGAAACAAGGACACATGCCCGAATTTAGCCTTGACGGCCTTAGGTCCTTCATAGTTAAACGTTGACGTTGACGCGTTTGAAATCATCACTACTTTACAACTCGCCTAGGCGATTTATTTGAATTAACTACATCAAAGTATCAGTAGTACGACAGATGGCGTTTACTGCGCCATTTGTAGTATTTTCTAAAACGCGCTGTTAAGGCAGCAGGTAAAAGTTGGTCTGTGTTCTGTCGGAGCTGCCTGCGACGCGCTGATGAGATCCAAAACGATCGAAATCGCGATCCGCGTCTGGCAGTTTCGACAGAATACAGACCACTTCGAATTATTTTATTCGATTATGGTTACGTGCCTAGCACGTTGAGGTGAGCTACGCCGGGATTCGTTTCAGCAAGTAGATATCCATATATTTAAATGGACCTTGTTGAAGCATACGTAATCCTAAAATGTAGTATCGTACTACAGATGGCGTTTACTGCGCCATTTGTAGTATTTTCTACATCGAAGTAATTACCGAAATACTATGAGGACATAGATAACACAGACTTATCATCAATTGCATTTGCTAATGGATTTAACAGCCATCAATATAAATAGGTATGCCCCTGTAATGTCGTACGACATCCGCCACTGCTACGGCGTACTTTCGTGTATGATGTGTTCGATCTTATCTGTATGACACTTGTTCCTATAAGTTTTCTAGTACTAACGTAGAACGAAATTACAAGTGGAAGACATACGAAATTTTTTGGCTGTCACCGTATAATGATTGATAACACATAACGGAAATAATGATACAGATACTAATCTTACATTACAGCCGTTATGAGTAATAACACATAGGCATACATGAAATACATTGGACATATCGGACATATCATACATTTTCACCTGTCTCTCTATATGACGTGTTAAACAATTAACGAAATGTGTTTCTGGTTATCAAATGAAACAAAAAAAAAGAGAAGATGACAGCGAATACTGTTAGATTTACCAAGGTGTTAGACGTAGACGTTTTTTGGGTCATAGCCATTAGAGAATATTAAGATTTTGAAGATTTTTTTGTCAGAGAATTTTAGAAATTTGACTGCAGTTATGGATCATCAAATTAAAACAAAATATGGTTTATGTTATTTCTTGGACTGTTTGTGGGAAATAAAATATAGTAATAGAAATAGTTGGTACCTTTTTGTGTGTTATGTAAATAACTAATAAAAAAGTTACAGCACATTTCGAAATTAGAAAATTGTTCTCCTAATTTAGACAGTTAATGTCCTAGAGGAGGCATATAATTATAAATAAAATGATAAAGAGAAAAATAGAGAAATATATGAAAAATGATATAATATATATAATTTATATTTGTAAATATTTACCGATGTTTGATTTAAACATATATATATATGACATAAAAATAAAAACCTTAAAGTTCTTGATTAATCAATAGGATAAACTCACTATTATTTTCTTTTCAGGTTAGCAGTTGAATCATCAAGGACCGTCTACAGTTAAATGCACAAGGTAAGAACTTTTATCAGTTAACGAAGCTAAGGTACGCGATATTTTTTTGTAATAGTGCGCGATATTTCTAGAATAAATTAGTGTTGTACTCATGACCCTAAATATGAAAAATTTTAAAAATCCAAACACCTGATTTTTCCCTCGAAACTGATTTTTAATTAAATAATTAAAAATTGGGCAATTATACGAGATTATTTCTATGTGTTGATTTAAACATACGGTATAGTAGTATAACTTCATCTTAGGTCTTTTTTTGTTATATTTCTCCATTTTTTCACGCATTATTTTCCTATAATTGTGTGATATTTTACGTGTTCCTTTATACTTTATAGTATCGATGCATTTTTCATCCGTCAACTTATCTAAGTCATAAAAACTTATCATCCCCCAAAATGATTGCCAGAAATAAATTTTAAAATGTGTAGACGATAACACCTGTAACCCCAATTAATAACTCTGTGAGCATATCTACACATGTGTGGATGTGCGTGTTATATATTCGTCGACCGCATCGCATCTAATCACCTCTCGGAGGGTTTCTAACAGTCTGATTAGCTGGATCCCATCTCCCGGTTTTAGATTACACCACGATACCGTCCGTGTATTCTTCGTCTCCCGGCAGTAACATGAGAACTGGTCATTTGACGGGATTGTACCAGTCAGTAGCTTTGATTAATGCTTCAATCTTCTCTTTACGATTATGTTGAATTTTACAAATTTTCTCCATTCAATCTCTCTCACGTTCAGGGACAATTTTCAACTGAACCGATTTACACTGATATATGTCTTTGTACGGTACCAGTTTCTATCAATAAAATCAGTATTCTCATAATTACTGTAAGTGAATTATAATGGAAACTGTGGAATCGCAGAAAATGCTCGAGTTTCTGCACTGAAGAATTCTGGTGGTTATTCTCAGATGTAAATGATCATAATTGCCTTCACCACATCGTCAGTGATGTAATGATTGTTCTTCAGATCCCTTCGAGGTGTGGAAGGAGGTGGAAGTTAGACGGAGCCAAATCCGAACAGTAAAGCGGATGCGGAATGAATTTTAAGTTTAATACTCCACGCGTACAGCTTGAAAACGTATCCATCGCTATCGTTGGATATGATGTATTTCTGGTTTTAAGTCAAATAATTTGTCCTCCTTCAATGTTTTTCATTTTGCTAAAGTTCAGTTTCTACTTATTACTTATCCGGATCTATATTACATATACTACAGAGGCGAACATTGCATATCGACAATATTAACAGTTTATTTAGTATCTAAGCAAGCCTAGTTTATTTATGTAGGAATCAGGGAGAACCACGGGATTATAATGTCATCCCGAGCGAATAAAAAAAGTTCCGGCCTTCTTCGGCTTGTTAAATGTCAAATAATTATTATGGTAATCGGCTGGACGGTCGCCGTAAACCCTAAAAGCAAACGCGTTTCGTACTGTAATATACAAGAACTCAAAGGTCTTCCGCTGGCTGTCCGATGATGTAGACATGCAAATTCCAGGCCCTCACGCACATATATAATGCAATTATCTATGTACGAACATTAATTTATTCATATACGTACTTCCACGACGATGCATTTGCAGCTTTCCCGCTGCTGGAACGTAAATCTACCAGCGTTTGTTAAGCAGAGTTGGCTGGTCTGTTCAGGCCCATGTTACCTCATGTGTATACACACCTTTTTGTCTTATACCGTACGTAAGGAAAGGTTTTCGTGTTAAATGTTAATATAACATCATCTTCTCTACGGTCCAGCGATTTTACAACTCATTTTTATGTATACCAAGTGATCTTTATTTCCTTATGGCAGGCACAGCTACACTAAGATTTCTACTTATTTTTCTAATGGTTATTAATACGGGGGGGGGGCGGCTTTAGTGCTTGTTTCGTCTTTTACTCCTTACATAGTCGTAACGCATTTATTTTAATCTTATAGGTAAGTACCTATAATTGGGTTACTTAGAATTAGCAGTCAATGTTTGTAGAACGGTGCAAAAAAGTTAGGTTAGGAAAGAGCGCATGATCAGTTTAAACTACTTGATGCTCAATTATTTTGCTGTTGTTTTTACTATTGACTTTCTAATAAATATTTATTGTATCTTGTCTTGTCGTGACAGTAACGTCTTTTCTTTATTTTGATTCGGGAAGCAAGTTTGTAAATTGGTATCTTTGCCTATCTGCTAATTAAGAACGCGACAACAATTAGTCTGTGTCACGGACCACGAAGTGATACTCTGCGTACTGTAATAAAAGGCGCATTCTGTCGTTGTCGATGCCGGCTTTGCTATATCGAGGTGTGGGAATGGCGAATAATCCTTATTAGAAACATAACTCGCGTGGCGTGATCTCACGAACGATAATGCACCCATAACTTCACGTTGTTCATACATCAGCAACAATATTTTCGCCAAAAAAAAAAATAATAAGAGGAAAGAGAAGAAAACGGACATAACAAAAAGATTTAGTTCTTGGCGTGTTTAATATTATAATAATAAAATCTAGTAAAATTAATAGTTATTTGACAACTGTTAGAGACTAAGAAGAATAGAACGAAGGTTGATTTAGAATTTGAATAATTTAGGAAAGTTATGAAGGTGGAGCTAAGGGTTGTAGATAAAAGAAGGGAACCAATAGTAAGAAAATATGATTTGAAAAATGCTGAAGATAGAAAATATATAATTAAGTTGTTGAACCCAAATCACCGAAGAAACCCCTCATAAAATAGCAATTGGGAAGGACAGCGAAGTCCAAACGTCATGCGGTTAGAAATGTTAATAGAGATTATAAGAAAGTACAGTAATAAAAGTTATTGGCACAGATAGATAGAATACAAAAGCTTTAGAAGATAATGTTCAGAAATATTTACACAGAAGAGGAATATCATACAAAATATTTACATATTTACACGACATTATATATATATGTTGGTCGCTACAAAGAAAAAGCTTATATGAAGAGTATTATAAGTTTTCTCTGTTGTGTCATTCACTAGAGGCGTATTAACTTAGCGTACTGGACTAATAAATTTTCTTAATAAGTTGGAGAAATTCTTTATGAATCTATTATCAAGAACTTGTGTGTTTTTGGTCTAATTTAGTACCAGAAAATACCCGCCAGATGGCGACATACAACTTTTATACGTATGTTACGTTTTAAATAGGTCATTTTACTTTGCTGGCCTCTGGCCTGTTCTTAGATAGATGTATGTATGTTTGTAATAGGCGAATTTCTCTCCAACATGAGGCTGTGCTCGTGCGGTAAGTACTCAATTAACTTATATTTACGTTAGAATTTTTGTGAGTAAATGATAGTGATGAGGTGAGGATGCGCCGTTTGAAATAATAAAACGTGACAAAGCTGTTCCCCTAATGGTAGTTATTACGGACTGTTTAATACTAAAAACCAATTGTTTCGTCGGAGGAAAACGACAAAAAAAAAACGCGAAACGCGATCGAAGTAAAGGTAATGCACCAGTACAAAACCATCGCATNTTTGGTTCTTGGCGTGTTCAATATTAAAATAATAAAATCTGGTTAAAAAACAAATATTTATTTGACACTGTTAGAGCTGAAGAAGAGTAAAGTAGATGAAGGTTGATTTAGAACTGAAGAATATAGAATTTGAATAATTTAGGAAAGTTATGAAGGTGGAGCTAAGGGTTGTAGATAAAAGAAGGGAACCAATAGTAAGAAAATATGATTTGAAAAATGCTGAAGATAGAAAATATATAATTAAGTTGTTGAACCCAAATCACCGAAGAAACCCCTCATAAAATAGCAATTAGGAAGGACAGCGAAGTCCAAACGTCATGCGGTTAGAAATGTTAATAGAGATTATAGGAAAGTACAGTAATAAAAGTTATTGGCACAGATAGATAGAATACAAAAGCTTTAGAAGATAATGTTCAGAAATATTTACACAGAAGAGGAATATCATACAAAATATTTACATATTTACACGACATTATATATATATGTTGGTCGCTACAAAGAAAAAGCTTATATGAAGAGTATTATAAGTTTTCTCTGTTGTGTCATTCACTAGAGGCGTATTAACTTAGCGTACTGGACTAATAAATTTTCTTAATAAGTTGGAGAAATTCTTTATGAATCTATTATCAAGAACTTGTGTGTTTTTGGTCTAATTTAGTACCAGAAAATACCCGCCAGATGGCGACATACAACTTTTATACGTATGTTACGTTTTAAATAGGTCATTTTACTTTGCTGGCCTCTGGCCTGTTCTTAGATAGATGTATGTATGGTTGTAATAGGCGAATTTCTCTCCAACATGAGGCTGTGCTCGTGCGGTAAGTACTCAATTAACTTATATTTACGTTAGAATTTTTGTGAGTAAATGATAGTGATGAGGTGAGGATGCGCCGTTTGAAATAATAAAACGTGACAAAGCTGTTCCCCTAATGGTAGTTATTACGGACTGTTTAATACTAAAAACCAATTGTTTCGTCGGAGGAAAACGACAAAAAAAAACGCGAAACGCGATCGAAGTAAAGGTAATGCACCAGTACAAAACCATCGCATTGGTCGTCTCAAGAAGACGAGATCCTAACCGGAGATAAGAAGAAAGTTAACCGCTTTGCACCATGCAATTTCCACTATATAGTAGGTGCATGTAGTACGTGTTCTAAGTGGGCTAAGCACGATCTCTTACAAGGAAATGGAAAAACTTTAAACTCAGCCTCACAGTTTATGGATAGTAAGTATTTAATACTACGGTTTTGTATTTGCGCGCGGAGGCATCACATCTACTCAGATCGGAATTTTAATGCTTGGAAATTCCGTGAGAACCTTGGTGGCGTATACATACATATATATGTATAGATGTACATACAGGGTGTCCCATTTATAATAATTAAAAAGAAAACCATGGCTTCGTGACACAAAATACAACAAAAAAGTGTTATACAATTTTTCAATCCAGTGACAATTGAGCTCGCAAATCGTCTTTGTAAATTTGAACGTACAATTTGTTTC